AATTATATTATTAAACCTAAATTAAATTTCTTTGTTACTAAACCTAAATTAAATTATAATTAAAAAATTGAATTAAGAAAATTACACCAAAACACAAAGACTTTTAAAAAGTTTAATTTGATACTGATATCGATATTTTTTTTCAAAATTTTATGATATTTTTAAATTAATATTTTATTCAAAAATAAAAACATTATCGCTTTTTCAAAATCATATAAAACCGTATTATATCGACATAAAAAAAGAATAAAACAAAATCCTGAAATCAAAATATGTCTCGATGCATTGCACGAGTACCCTACTAGTAATAATAAAGTAATAAAAAATTTAGGAAAATAGTTTTACTTTTTTTTTCCTTTCACGGAATATGCAACAGTGGAATCTTCTGGAAAGAAAAACCCTACACACAATCTGCACCACCACGACTMGTATTTATACCCCACTCCTCACTTCTCATACTACTCACATATTTCTCTACATTTGGATTCGAAGTTGCAGAGATCTCTAGCCAATACCAACACTAGCCATGGCCATCAAAGTCTTCGGAGCCCCGGGTTCAACCGCAACCCTCCGAGTTCGTGCTTGCCTCGCTGAGAAGGACCTTGACTATGAGTTCATTCTCGTCGATTTGGCCACCAAAGAACACAAGAAGCCTGAATTCCTTCCTCGTAACGTACGCACAACTGAATTTAGTTTAGTTTTCATCACACATTTACTTCGATTTTATTTTGACTTGCATTGGTGTTTGTAATTGTATCTGCAGCCGTTTGGTCAAGTTCCAGCGTTTGAGGATGGTGATCTTAAACTGTTCGGTAGGAATCCCGTTCGTCTCGAAATGAATGATTGTAGATTTTGTTTCATTATCCGATATGTTTTAGTAATTGTAGGCTCAAAATTTTGATGAGATAATCAAACTGATGCAGAGTCGAGAGCGATTACGGAATACATAGCTAACGCATACGCCGATAAGGGGAACGATCTGATCTCCAAGGATGTGAAGAAGATGGCGATACAGTCGGTGTGGATGGAAGTGGAATCTCACAAATATGAACCGGTGACTTCTATGCTGTTTGTGGAGCTGTGTTTGAAGCCAATGTGGGGGATGCCGGTAGACGAGGCGGTGGTGGAAGAGAACGAGAAGAAGCTGGAGGAGGTGMTGGACATCTATGAATCGCGGCTGTCGGAGAGCAAGTATTTGGGGGGAGATAGCTTCACGTTGGCGGATCTGCACCACCTCCCCAACCTCAAGTATTTGATGGGAACAAAGGTGAAGAAGGTGTTTGAGGCGCGGCCACATGTCAGCGCGTGGGCGKCGGAAATTCTATCGAGGCCTTCATGGGTGAAAGTCACGGCGGCTTAAACGTGATTTTGATGAGAATGAATGGATGCAATCTGTGTGCGCAACCTTGATGTTTTCCTTTTAAATAAATAATAATTTTATTTTCGTTATAGATCGATCACTAACGCAACCCAAGCTCGAGAACACAACTGCCCTTCAACCATCGTATGCCTCTTTCTAATGGACAAATTCACTAACAATTAATATGTACAAGTTTAATGAGCATCAAAACAAATTAACAGCAAATTGACAATTTGAGTTGTTTTAAGAAGGAAGAAAAATTGAAATGATTCATATTTAGAAGCTTGATAAAAATGATTATACTGGAAAGTAGATATTTTTTCTATTATAATCCTAGACTCCGTTTAATATTTTTAATAAATTTATTGAAGAGGGTAGCCATTCATGTTAATTATAAAACACAGATTTTGGACCAATGAAATAATTAAAGAAGAGAGAGGGTATAAAGAATAAATTTCTAAAACTCAATAGTTTCAAGAGAGAGAATATAAAGAATAAATTTCTAAAACTCAATAGTTTCAAGAGAGAGAATCATATTTTTTTTTTTATTAACCTCGATATCCAACCTGTTATGTGAGTCGACTAATTTTAGGGCGATCATTTGCTTTGCAGATAGCCCGAAGTGACTGTATTTGAACTTCCGTGGCCACAGGAAGATTTTTTTATTTCTCCTTGGATTTGAACCTAGAACCTTCGGGTATTTTTAATCTTTGAAGTCAAGCTCAAACCAATTATGTACCACCCTTATGGTTCATATTTAATTTTTTATTATCAATAGAAAACATTGGAATTAAATACTTAGGAGAGAGAAATACTAATTTATTATATATATCGAATATTTTAAAATATGATTAATGATTWAATCATTAAAAAAATACTTATTAAAGTTGGATGTAATTTTTTTAGCATCCTGAGATGAAGAGTCAAAAATTAAAAATCTCCAAAAGATATTACATATATCTCCAACAAATTCTTGATATTAAATATTTAAAAATCAATTATATTATTAAAATGTCCATTACATGTAATGAAATATTGTTTCTAACTCCTAAATATTTAATTTCAAAACTTTTTATTGGTGGGAATAATAACATATTATTTCTAACTCACAAGTAATCATTTTTGGGTAACTTCCTATATTTGAATAAAAAAAATTTATTTCTTCGTTTTGAAGAATTTGTTCGAAAAAAAAAATTCAAAATCTCCAATTTAAATTAAAGATTTTAACTTTTAATATCCTAGTTAAAAAAGATAATATAACATTAAGTTTTGGAGATTCTCATATATCGTCTTCATAATCCCCCACCTCCCTCCCATGTTTTTTGGGCCAACCGTCCCTCCCTTTTTTCCGACAATCCTATTAATTAATAGATAAAAATATTCTACATTTACAACAATAAATACATCAAACATTAAATTTTAAAAAAAAATAACTCCTGATAATAACATATAAAAAAAATCACTTTTTCACAACCACATTTATCCTTAAATTAAATTGGAGAAAATAAAAACAAATGTTTTACGATATATATTTATAGAAATTAAAAATTGTGAAAGGAGAATTTATTTATGAAGGAAGGTTCGAGGTTGATGCATGGGATGAAGTTTCTGGGGCCATACACTTGGAAGCTAGATAGTAGATAGGCTATGGCTTACCAACCCCCCGTTCACTTTTACTTTTTTTTTTTTTTTATTAACAGAAATAGCAATTTTTAGAGTATGTTTTCATTATATATATATATATATATATATATATATAAGCAAAAATCAAAATCTTTATATCGATTTCCTATTTTAGAAAATCAAATATTAATTATAATATTAAAATATTTCATTTATTTATTAAAATATTATTTCTTCCTTTTAACATTCATTTTTTAAGTTTCTTATCGGTGGTTTCACTTAGGAGGTATTTGAGATTGYTTATTTGAAACAACTTATGTTTTTTTATAAAAACATTTATCAACTTATTATAAGTCAGAAGAATTTAACTTCTTATTACCAGTTTTGCACCAATATAAGTTGTTTATCCAAACACTCAAAAGTGTTTATTACCGGTGTCATACCGAAATAAGTCAATAAGTTGTTTTTTATAAGCAATCACAAACACCCCCTTAATAAACATTTTCGAGGTTAACTCCATATATGGAGAAAACCCCATCTTTCTTCTACTTTCTCCATTTTGAAAATAGTTTTGATAAAGCTGTTAGAGTAAACATTGACTCAAATCTTTAGTTTCTACATTTTGGAGAAGTTGTTTGAGTCATTTTTTTTTTAATTTTTTTTAAAATGTCATCACCTCTGTAAGTGATAACTCYTTAACTTGCCAAATGTCAAAGTGTAAAACAAGAATATGAATGAAGTCCACAAGTACATGGACCAAATATGTAAATCAGATATAGATCCGCAGGTGTCATGATCTCTATATGTTGAAGCGTTGTTGTGAYTAATTTACAGATTTGGTTTCTACACTCGCAGGCMTGATTTAGAGGAAAAAAATTACACTTTGAGGCATCTATAAATTAAGAAGTTACCATTTATGGAAGTAATGATATTTTTAAAATATTAGAAAAAAAATGATTAAAAGCTTGAAAATAGGAACCATTATTCTCAAATTTTGAAAAAAATTATAAGCACCATCTATCTAATTAAATATATAATTCTCCACAATTGGGATTTTTACAATCTTTTTTTTTTCGTTTTCCAAGTTGTTATGAGAGACAACACAACAGTTGTAAAAATCTCTATTTGTCCATTTGATATTTGAATCTATTTTTCAATGTGGACCATAATATTCTACACAATTTAACTCTCTTTTTTAATTAATTTTAGATGATGTGATTTTTTTTAATTGATTATATGCTTTGAGTTAAATGATCATTTTTCTCGTTTAAATTGGTTTTTTATCACTTTTTTTTTTTTTTCCTGAATTGAGTCAAAAAATGTCACTACTTTCGTAATATCCAGGTCCACAAGCATAAGGCTAAAAAGAAATATCAAATTCAACACAGATATGCAATTGTTAAATTGGTTGAATTTGACCTTTTATTTTTGTCTTTTAGCTATTGGATATTACGGATATAGTGATATTTTTGTCAAACCGGGAGAGAAATGATTAAAAAAACCAATTTGAATGAAGGAATGGTCATTTGAGCTAATTTCCCTTGAAATTTACGTACCATAATCTAAATGGACTTTAAAATAAAGATTAAATACGTCATAGTTATGTCGTCATGTTGTAACTAAAGTTTATATTATGATTCTTGTCTGTTCATCTCTTTCATGGAGCATCTTTAACAGATGTTCAAAAATATTCTATATACTGTTGTTATATGAAAAGTGGGAAAATTATAAGTTTAGAAATTTTTCTAAAACTTGATATGGTGAAGAAAGAGAGAAAATTTATATTCATCCTCACCAATTAATCAGGTTGAATCATTATCAATAATAATATAAATGTTTTTTTTAGAAAAAATATTGGAATTATAATTTTATAAAATATTTGAATAGTACAATGGATGTCTAGATTAAAATATATAAGTGGACTTAGTTCTAGAAATTATGACTTTGGATTTTGTAAGTTATAGAGAATGATGTTTTTATAGAGTAAATTAAAGTTTTGGTCTTTAATTAATTATGATTTCTTTTTTAAAATTAATTACAATTTTGTTTCATTTTTTGTACCAACTCTATTTAATTAAAAAAAAAAAAAAGTTAGTTAACTTAAGCGTATTTTGGTCCATATATATATAATCTGGATCGGTGGAAACGGATGAACGAGTTTGGAGTCTCTATGGGTGTCTGGTGTTGTTCCTTGGATAGCTAGCGAAAGGGGCCGGGTAACTTAACATTCATAATATGATATGGTAAAACAATAAAGAAGAAAAAAAAAACCCTCGCATAAAAAGAGGTTAAATACCAAAACACCCCCTCAGCCTCACGTAACAATTTTATGACGAAAATCAGAAGAAATTYCAAACCATAAGGACTAAAACGGTAATCTCCTCTCTTTTCTCTTTGAAGGAAATACTCCAGAAATTTATGGAAAGGAGAAAATTCCACACAATCTTTGTATATATAACCCCACTCCCCACTCCCCACTCCTCACATCTCCATCCATCATCTTCGCCCTTTCAATTCTGTCGCCATTCAAAGTTGCAGACATCTCTACAACTAATCATGGCCATCAAACTCTACGGAGCCCCGGGTTCAACCGCAACCCTCCGAGTTCGTGCTTGCCTCGCCGAGAAGGACCTTGATTATGAGTTCGTTAATGTTGACATGGGCGCTAAAGAACACAAGAAGCCTGAATTCCTTTCCCGTAACGTACGTAAACCTCAACTATTATCATCACAGGTTTGGTTGATCCATTTCATTTCATTTCATTTCATTTCATTTGAATTGATGTTTGTAATTGAATCTGCAGCCGTTTGGTCAAGTTCCGGCGTTTGAGGATGGTGATCTTAAACTGTTCGGTAGGCATCCTTATCGTTGGGAAATGGTTTTAGATTTTGTTTAGTTATGCACAGCTTTTACTAATATATTCTAGACTCAAAATTTTGATGAAATAATCAAATCGATGTAGAATCAAGGGCGATTACGCAGTATATAGCACACGCSTACGCCGATAAGGGGAACGATTTGATCATCAAGGATGTGAAGAAGATGGCGATACAGTCGGTGTGGATGGAAGTGGAATCTCAGAAATATGAACCGGCGACTTCTAAACTGATATGGGAGCTATGTTTGAAACCGATGTGGGGGATGCCGGTGGACGAGGCGGTAGCGGAAGAGAACGAGAAGAAGCTGGAGGATGTGTTGGACATCTACGAATCACGGCTGTCGGAGAGTAAATACTTGGGCGGAGATGGGTTCACGTTGGCGGATCTCCACCACCTCCCTAACCTCAAGTATTTGATGGGAACAAAGGTGAAGAAGGTGTTTGACGCGCGGCCGCATGTCAGCGCGTGGGCTTCGGAGATCCTTTCGAGGCCTGCTTGGGTGAAAGCGACGGCCACCGTGGCYTGAATGTGATTCCGATAAGAATGCCACGCCATGTGTCTTGGGAGTAATTTTCATGTTGCGTTTTAATAAAATAATAAATAAATAAAAAGTTTGTGGTGTCTTTATTTTCAGATATCTTTTGTATAAAACGTATAAGAAAAAAAGAAACAGTAAAATGTTTACATATATATATTTATTGATCAAAATAATAACTTGGGATCATGTGAGACCAATGGTTTCTTGTGAGACCCGTAAGATCAATTTTCAATAATTGGATTAGATCTACAATCATCAGATCTGAACATTCATAAACGTCATGAGACTTTTTAATAATTATAAAATTGTCACCGTATAATTTAGATCATTAGATTATTAACTTATAAAGTTGATTAATAAACATAAATTGGTTTTACGGGTCTTACAAAAAACTCTTAGTCTCATGTGAACTCAACCCTCAAAATAATAAAGGAAAACCTAAATTCACTTTCTACCCAACTCTTTTTCATTTTCACCTTAGGGGTTGTTTTTTACCTCTTAATAGTTTCATTAAGAGGCAACATCTGAATCATTAAGAAGTAAATCTTGTTTGGCAAAAAAAAAAGTTTGTCTTTTAATGGTTTTAAAATCCTCTGAATGATTTTGTATTATTGGTCTTCCTTAACCATTAAGAGTCTTAATTTCATTGTAAACAATTATATTTTATTTTGCATTATATCATGAGAAGCCTCTTAATCATTCTGATCATTTAATGATTCTGCACAAAACCATTCAGTAATTACCAAACAGTCCCTAATACATTTGTAGAGGAGGCATTGCCGGAATCTCGATTTCATTGCTATTATCAATGTTACTTCCATTGCTCAGGAATTGATGGATCCCATTTAAATATCGATTTATTAAGGGGATGTTTGGAATTGCTTATTTAGAACAACTTATGTTTTTTTTGTAAAAGTACTTATTAACTTATGTAGTATTAAATCGGAGTTAAATAAAACAGGGTTAAAATTGTAAACCGGTAATAAACAGTTTTTCATAAGTTAGAAATGATTAACTTATCAAAAACAGCTTATCACCGGTATAAGCAGTTTTTTTTTTCTTATCCAAACACCAGAAAACAACTTATCACCGATGCTAGACTGAAATAAGTTAAAAAAACAGCTTTTATAAGCAATCCCAAACACCCCCTAAATATTAAAAAAAAAAAAATGCACCCTAAAGGATCTCACTTATTTTTAAGAAAATGACTCATACGTGAATTACGGTAAAGTCTTGATAAAAAATGAAATAAAATTGAATAAGAGACAGATTTAATCAGACAAAACGAATAAAATAGTAAAAATGAGATAGAGTTAGACTTAGACAAATTTAATCGATTAAAAGGAATGCCAACAATAAAAATGGATGTACCAAAATAAATCTGTATTTAATTAAAAAAAAAAAGGAGGTTTCGAATATGAAAATGTTAGTATTTTAAATATGAGTGTTGTCGGTTGTTTAAATAAATAATATATTTAATAGTTAAAGGAAAATGAGCAAAAAAGCCTTCATTTGACGTATGGACGGTTCAAACTCCACAGAATCCATTGACTATGATTACCGAGGCATCAAGATCAAATCAAATGTCCATTCCGTGTTTAAATGAAATATATACGAGTTTTTGGGTCCCCTTCTGTTTTATTCGTTTCCACATTTTTGTTTTATTGCCATTACTTTTCATTTTGGTTAATTTTGATCCCTCATTTCTTAAGTACAAGATATTTTAGAGATCGGGCTTTGGAGTTAAAAGAATGCCTCATCTTACTTTTTTAGGCCGAGCATGTACCAAAATTTCAGCCTCATCGTGCTTTTTTAGACCTAWCTGCCGAATTATGTCTTGGRTATTTTTGTGCATCTTTAGTTTGAGTGACACACGATTTTCATCCATGTAGTTTGTTGTGACTGCCCCTTTCGTGCTTGGTCATTAAAAATGTTCTTTTCGTCACCATTTTATTTCACTTTTAGTCCTAACCCCATTAGAGAAGATCTATTAAGCTAGTGGTMWTYTGSTMTTYTRYWATWTTATRCTAAAGAGATAGCRAGACTGGCTGCAATTGCAGGAATAKGTTGACTTTCTTTCACCTTGGAGAGTCGGGGCCGTCCCCCATTTAACAACCTAAAWACCTTCCCACCCAATTGCAACCGACCTATCTTTTCGTATTGCTAGGGATGCTTAATGCCACTTCGCCAACCTTCATCCATGGTGATCAATAAATKGAGKAATAAGTCGTTTCATGGCAGTTCWTTCTATCATTTTATTGTAAAAAGACATGATTTGGTTTTCGAAGAATGAATCGGATATGGATAGTTCCAATAATATTTCATTCTTGAACAAAAATCATGATAATATATTACATTTTTATATTTTATATATCGATGGATGTTCAAAAGCAAACACCATAATTTAATGAAAATGCGAAAAACATTCATATCACTTATAATAATAAGGGACCGGGTGGTGTGCGGATGACTTGACCCGTGATTTTGGTCCTACCAAATGTCGTTTGCATCTCTTATTTAGTGTCACATATGATTGACTATAATAAAAAGATGTTTTTTGCATTTTCGTGAAATTATACTGTTCTAATTTGAAACCACCTCCACACACACTATATGTGTAGTGTGTGTATACAAAAGTAAGAGGATGATGGCAGTAGCCCAAAGGTAAGGCAAAATTGGTGATTTGAAAGTTGTTATTTAATTATTATACTATATGTAAAATAAAGGTTGTCTTTATTAGACTGAACTGAAGGGACGATAGAAGATAAACGGGCAACACACATTCACACACGTGTGTGTGTATATATACATGACGCGTGATTGGTGGTCAACTTTTCTTAAAATAACATTTTTTTTTCATATAAATTATATTATTAAAATTAAAATTAAAATTAAAATTAAAATTAAAATTAAACTTATAATATGAACAATTGATTAATGTCAATTATTTTTAGAGTAAATCCTTTTGGTTTGTTAAAAGTTTTTGTCTCTATCCTCAACCTTAAGTCGGTGAGTCTAACTTCTATCTTTAAATACAAGATACAGATAAAACAAGGAATTGTAAATCATAGAGATCAAAACAACAATAAATTATAAAAAAAAAAAAAATAACACTATATATATATATATATATATATATATATTGCAAATCATGAAAATTGTAATTTCTAAACCATAGAAACGCAAATCGTAATTTTTGACAAACTACACGGACTAAACACATAATTTACTCTACTTTTTAATGGATTGTTTGATACAAGATTAWGTGGTCAAAATAATTAAAGAGATTCTCATAATATAATATAAAAATAAAATAAGGTTGTTTCATAATTGACTAATTGTTCAAATTTATAATGCTAAATGATTTAGAGAGGTTTAAGATAAAAAATTATTCARARAGTTTTATAATACTAGAAGGGTGCTCGCATAAAATAGCGACATATATCTCAATTTATTATCTATCTGGATATAATATGGTTTTTAGTGGTTTTAAGAAAACGATAATGCTTTTATTTT